ATGATGATGATGATGATGATGATGATGATGATGATGATGATGATGATTAGCTTGTTCGACTGCTTCAGTTCGGACAAACCCACATATTTCACCAGTCACGACGTCGCGGTTCGATTCTCCACGAGCTCGTTCAGCGTCATCGGTTCGATTCTCCGCACGTCCGTCGAACCATCCGTCGAAGCATGGTAAAGGTCCCGCCGCCGCTGTCCACAGGTCCTTCCATCACGTGCCATCAATTGATAACCAAAAAGAACGACTCTCTCTCTCTCTCTCCAAAACAATCATGGAAGTGGCAATAGTAGGACCCTGGAAAGACCAGAAACCCTCCTCCACAAACAGCAGGTGTCCCTTCCACTTCCATGTTGGGAGAGCGAGAGCGAGCGAGAGCGAGAGCGAGCGAGAGAGAGAGAGAGAGAGAGAGTCCAAAACAAGATACACTTCTCCCACTTCCATGTAAGTTGGGTCCAGGAAAAGAGGTTCAAGCCAAAACAAGCGGCCCCTCCAACCGTTGAATTCGCTTCACAGGCCCTCGTCGGCTCGGTGCCTGCCGCCCGGCAGCAGCGTGCCAGGGCCAAGTGTCCCAGGGCCAAGGTGCCATGCTTCTCGCCGAAGAGGCGCAAACAAATCTCCTGAGATCCTCGGCGAGATTTACCCAGGGATGACAGGAAGACGAGGATGGGAAGCCAGATGCGGAGGATGAAAGCATGACTCGCATGACCAGATTGTGTAATATACACAACGTGTCAGGATGGAATTTCAATAGGGCCCTGAGGGACCCTGAGGGACCCTGTCATCATGTCCATCCTTTTGGATCTTCGGCCAGCGACGCTCGCAAAGGCCTTTCGCTTCCACCGCCCGGCCCTGCGCCAGCAAGCACTGTGCAGCGTTCTGCAGGATCTGTGATGCCTGACACGACCGAAGTCAAACGCCCAGGTCAGCTGACTGGCTCGGGTGATGAAACAACATCGGCCTCAAGAAGGACCCAGGCGGCGCCAGAAGGTGAGCTATTACCAAATGGGAAGGCATTTTGGAGCATGACCTGAAGAAACAACGGTTTCCAAGCAATTTGATAGCACGTGATGGTCCCAAACCATATTGCAAAGACATAGATGCTGGTCAAATGAACCTTAATGACACACAGGGTTCTGGGGTGGGGGGATACAGTATATAGATGGTCGCTGATATGCTGTCAATCTGTCATCTTCGAGGCCTGATGGGTCGCCACCTTGTCATCCCCGTTGGTGGCCAAGCGATAGGCCTCTTGAAAGGCAGAAGAGGCCTCGCCGAGCCTCCAGTGCACAGTGGAGGAAGGATGAAATTCAAAAGTGGATGAAAAACAAACCCGATGATCTTGAGATATCTAACCACCTGTTCGGGCCTAGTCTTCGTTCATCTGCCCTGTGCTCAAGAAACCTGCATAAACTATAGACCTACTATATAGATCTATATAGACTATTAAAAAGTCCCACTGGTTATGGATGCCATCCAACAACACATGAGCAAAAGCTACAAACTTCACTGAACGAGATCAAACCCTACAAGTCCAGTGATCAAAGGAAGACAGCATGCAAATAGGGATAAACACCTTCCTGAAGACTTTCGGGAAGTCAAAGAAAGTCAGCAAAAATGGATGTGCATGGTGGTGTGTGCACTGCTTTGGGTGCTTTCTAAACAACCAATCTTCTTGGAGGAAGAATTCAGCTGGAATCCTGGTTTCAAGTGCTTCAGAGCATGAACCCCTCCTACCTTCTGGCCTTTATCCCCACAGATTCGCCGTTGCATGCCACAGGAAAAGATTCGTTTGAGAAAAGAACATTAAGCAATTTAGCTCCAGTTCCAAAAGAAAAACATCTAGCATCCAAAGCGCGTTCCACACCGAGGTTCCGGACGTTTGCCGGGCGCGTTGCGCGCGAGCGCATGCGCCCAAGCGTGCCCGCGTGCCTTTGGGCGTTCTTCAGGGCAATGCCCAAGTTGTTCTGAGCATTGGATAGAGCTAAGCCTCAAAGTCAACGCAATGACTGACATTTAGGGATGCTACGCTTAATTGGCAATATAAGCCCCAGGTATGAAGAGGTTGTTCAATCCAACTGGAGGGGGGGGTATTAATCAAGATCCGCCCAAATGGTTCTTTCAAAGTTGCTGCTCATGTCCGGCTTTTCACACCGGAAATCGAGGTTGGGAGGTCTGTCGAAGCACCCGTTGATCCCGTTGAAGCACCCCTTGATCCCGTTGTTCCAGGACCATATGTCGAGCTCGACACCAAAAAAGGAAGCTGGCAAGACATGCGACCCAAACATCAACCAACTAGCTAAGGGGTTCCCTGTGGAACTCCCTGTTGCTCCCATGACTCTTCGCGACCGTCGCTCGCACGTCCACAAGTAGACGGCGAAACGCGCGTTTCGCCCGTCGTCCCGGATGCTGGGCTCATGAAGGATGAAGGTCTGTCCCCGTCCATTTGGTGTCAGAGAACATTGAACTCATCACAGGATCCAATGACGGACCCATAGAATAAAAAACGCTAAGGATCTGGCCAAGCTGCACATATAATGTATATGTTGTTCATGGGGTGTTTGATGCTGTATGATGATGTTTGCAACTTCATCACCCCTTCGACCAAAACCGCTGGATCTCGATCCATCGGGGACGTTTTGGATGTCGATCCATCCAAGGCTCGCTCTTCTAGCACCTCCATGGAGAACTGCTCCCCTTCCAGTTGAACCACCGCCTTCCATGGGGGGGGTGGGCTCCTGAGGGCTTTGTGGGGAGGGGCTCGAAGAGAAGTGAACACGAGCCGGAAACCTGTGGAAAAACCCAAAGGTTCAAGAGCCACATTTGACTCTAATGACTCTAGACCCCACATATCCCCACATCTTCTCCTGAGGCTGGTGAGCTGCCAGTGGCGGAGACAAGAGACAATAGATCAACGCAGGTCAATAGTCCAAGGTGCTGCTGCCCCCCTCTTTCTCGCTGTGCGATGTAGCAACGACATTGACTAAAGCATCTTTAAAACCTATATCCACCAAGCCCTCACCCTTCACCCTCCTTTTACTACCATTCTTTCACCGTGGCACCAATGTGCCATACCACGCTCAATACCTCCTCTGCTCCGCTCCACGAAGGCCGTGGCCGCCCGTGCGTGCCCGCTGGGTTCACCACCACGCCTCCCAACTGGCCACGGCCTCGGCCCAGCGCCTCAGCTTCAACTGCACCTGCCGAGGCACGGGCACGGTTCGTGGCTCACGACCGAGGTCTGAGTCTCCAACACGTAGGCGGTGAGGTTAGCACGTCCAGGGCCGGACTCTTTCGGATGGGAGGATGAGTAGGTTCGTTATGATTCACGGCGTGTGGTTAAGATATAAGTGAACATTGAATATATGAATCATGTGGCTTGGGGAAATGTCAATGTTCAATCTCATGCCATTTTTTTCAATGACTGCTTCACCTTGCCATCAATTACAACGATCTCCGGATGGAGAATTACTCCAGCCCAGTCTCATGGCGAATCTGCTTCACCTCAGTGTCTCAAATCCTGACTGGTGAACTTGTTCCTGATAGGAGAATACTTGGCTGAAAGGTACTCTACCTGGTTGAAGGGTAGTTAACCTTCAAAAAGTCTTCTACCTGTATATGAAGCTGAAACGATTGGTATTTGACGAACATGCTCCGTATATGATATATACATGCCCGCCACTATGCCCGCCACTTGATATGAATAATTACCACTTGATTCTCACAGGATGTGAGGCTTTTTTTGGTCGTTACAGCTAGTATTTATACTTAGCGCACATACCTGCCGCCTATCCACCCATTTGCCCGGATCTCTCTCCACTCACAATGTCTTTTTCCCCATTACCCGCCCACCGTGCACTTCCGGTGCAACCCGCCCACCGTGGCACCGCTCTGATCCTCTCCCAACCCGCGCCTTCCCCATCAACGACTGGGCGTTGATCTCCTCCCGCCGCTGCCGCGCTTGCCGGGCCGCCTGCAAGGCCTCCTCCAGGAGAGGAAGCGCCGCCTCGGGCTGCCGCTCGGACAGCTGGCGGGCCTCAAGCTGGCGTGGAGTGGAGAGTGGTGGCATGCGTCGGCGAGAGAGGTGTCGGTTAGTGAGGTGCAATGGGCCTCTTTATATGGGGCTATATTGTGGAAGGCTATACCATGGAACATTGAGGAACCATTATGTACAAAAATGGTTTCTTACGATCGGGGAGAAGCCATTCACTTGCAGGAGAAGGGAAGGTCGAGTCGTTCTGGCGAAATGGAGGAAGGCACACTCGCATGACAAGAGCGCAAATGGACTGATGGGCTGATGGCTAACCTACCGGTGTAGATGTCATAAATGGCTGACATGGCCAAATGGCGGCCATGGCTCACACCATATGACCCAAGGACCTGTTCATTTGCGTTTCCTCTACCAGGAGGGTTGGGCAGGTTCAGCCCAACCGCCAGATCTCTCGGACCCTTGAAGTGCCTGATCTGTGAGGGCTTTGGCACCACAGGGTCCGGCAGACTTTGCTGCTGAACGCTCCTCCTCTTCCTCCTCCTGCAGGTTGCTGGCTGGGTACTTTAAAGCTTCAACACCTTTCTAAAGAAGTCTCTTCGTTCTCACTAGCTTGAATGAACGCTGGATGCTGGAGGCTTCCACTAAGTAGAAACACATGTTCTCCCAAATCTACTTTCAGCCTCCAGCCCCAATTCAACATTAACTCAAGAATCTCTTGCACTGGTCTCACCGGCTGACCAATTGACCATCAATGAGATGAACTCTTTTCCATTCCGAATCGCAGCGGAGCGCTCTGCTCGCCCGCTGCTCAAGGCTCCAAACCCCCACCGCCCCGGCCCCGCGGCGGAGCGCTCTGCTCCGCGACCGCCTCCTTTCTCCTCTTCGCTTCCAACAGCGCGACGGCGCGGTCGACCTCCTTTCCTCACCGTAAGAAGCCCGCGGGTTCCGTCCGGGGGTTCCGTCCGGGATTGGAGTCGAGACACTGGTCCTGTTGCTAGGTATATCTGAGAACAAAACGGACAAAACATTAAAGGGGGGACTAGGCCCAGGATTGATGGATATGACTTAGGATCTGCGTGCCGAACATATATTATATTGGCTGCTCACCCTGATTGTGGATCTTCGGGGTGTATGCAAGGACTAACACAAGCAATTTTTTAAGATTGAACATGCTGCCTTCCCTCTAGTTCCAAGATGTTCCAAGCACCTGGCAGTTCCACTCACACAGTCACACCAAGCACAGAAAATATTGGGATGATGGTTCTTTGCCCCTGTCGGAACCCAAGTGGGCCAATGTGAGACCGAGTCGCCCAGCTGCTGTAGCGCCTTGTCTTCCGAGAAGCGCTGCAGGCCCAGCTTCAGTGCCTCCCGGGCTTCCAGGCAGCGGCCGCGCCGCAGGCGAGCGCGCACCAGCTGGTAGTGGCTCCTCGGAGGTGACGTGATGTGGACCCGAGCGGAGGGACCGTGATGCCCAAGTGGAACCGATATAGGCATGACGTTCTTTTTTGCATCTCGCGCCAGCTACAGGCATAGCTAGGCGTTCCAGATCGTTCCAGTCAAGTGTTGCGTTTGGGTTTGGACGCAATTCATGAAACACATCTCACGAAATGGAGTGGAGAGGTCGACTTCTCCATGCAATTTGTTAGAGGTCGCGTTGGTGGACTGTGGGGTGGGTGTGTGTGGTTTGTTTCATTAGGGGTTATCTTTATAGGTGGATAGGTGGAATAAGGCTGATGGATCTTTAATAATGATTCCCCGTTGAGAGCAGGAACACGCATGAGGTTTGATACCTTTAAAACTTTCGTGCAACGTCTTCGTCGTCGGAGTGCACGTATGTAAGGATAAAAAAACATGTAGTTAAGTGCCTCAAAGGTATTATCTATACCTATATCATATATCCCAAAAACTGCATGTAATGATATGGAATATATTCCACATTGAGCTCCGCGTCTCTGGGTATGTTCCTCCTTCTCATTGCTTTTCAGTTCCATGGTCAAAGTGCATGGTCGGGTCTACGGCACCCATGTTCCACTCACCTCGGGTCATCAAAAAGCGACCAAACCACGACAGGAGAACTCCCGTCGGCCGCGCGCGCCGGCTCTCGCGCGCGCCGCCGTGGAAGCACACTCCACCCGAGTCGCTTGGCGGGTGCCTGTTGGTCTGCTAGCTCCACTGCCTTGGCCGCATCCAGCTCCGCGTCCTTCCAGAGCTCCAGTGCCGAATTGGCGATCGCACGGTTCCTGGAGGGGCTTCGTAGCCTCCACATCCGTGGTTGGAGGGATCTGGGGAGGCTGTGTTGCATGGGATTTGGGGTGAAAAATGGGTCAAATGAATCCATTCGCAGTTCCTACACAAGTCTCCTCCATGCCGGGACAGCCAGCATAGGATGTATATTACTATTATGAAGCCTGATGAAGCAATAAAACAGCCAGCAACTCGTGGTGCTGGTCATGTTTGTCAGCAAGCATCACGCATACATACGCATACGCAATATGCAAGCAACAATAATCATTGACCATGTAATCGTTATTGGTCACCCACCTTGCCCTGGCCAGGCGATGATTTCTTCCCCACAGCTGAGCCCGGCTGAGCTGCTTTTCTTTTTGGATCCGCGAGCATGGCCCCCAAAACCGAGAGGCAAATGGTACGTGGCGTTCTCCGGGTCGATCTTAATGGCTTTGCTGTAGTACTTGATGGCCTTGCTTGACATCAGCATCATGAGCACAACAAACCCAAAGAGGCCAAGACCCAGTGACTTAAGAAAACGTTTGGGGTGTTTTAATGCGTCTTCACCGGCATGAGTTGAGGCTCTCATCCCTAGAGGTGTCTGACATGATAAAAAGATAGAGACGATAAATGCCAAGTAAAACATTGTTCAATCCTCTCCTTGCTAGAAAACATTGGAAAACCAAGAGGAAAAATCACACACATATCACATGACATGAATATAGAACATGTTGTTCCCCTTGGCTTCGCTTTAAGAAGCAACGATTCACTTTTTAGTAGCCCCAAAGGAGATGCTCCTAAGAACGAACTGGTACTGGTTACTACAGTACCAGACTTGTACCAAACAAGTCAATGGTCGGGCATGGCATGTGTGCTATATGACATCGCCCAGCCTTTGGATATTTCTTCTTCCCCATGGCTCGGTTCCCCTTCTTCTTCTTCGTCTCGGCGTCGCTGGTGCTGCCTGAGCTTTCCTGTCAGCGGATTCGCGGATGGCATTCTCTTTCTGGTACAGAGCAGCGACCATGCGAGGCGGCGTCCAACCCACCCTGTGGCCAACGGCCACCCGCCACGCCTCATCACTGGTGGTGGGGGGCGTGGGCGGCGTCTGCTTGCAACCAAAGATGTGCGACATGTAGCGTTTGGCAAGTTGAAGAGAACAGAACAACTGGAGCGTTTGGAAAATGAGGGGGCTCCTCATGGCTGCCCCAACAGTGGGATCATTTTGCCGTTCTGCCGAAGACAACCGGTTGCACATGCGAGTGCCAAAGTGTAATTACTGTCTTTGAACATCGTCGGCATTTACCCTCTGATGTGCATCTCTTGGCGCATGAAGCGGCAGGCTTTTAGTCTTTGAGTGTCACTCTTGCAAATAAGCTTCGGAAAGGATCTAGTTCCAAGGAGGCCAACGACCTTGTTTTATCCTCCATATCAGCTATGAAGACCACGGAGACATACACAAGAACTTACCCCCTATATACATTTTTCGTTTATACATGGACTAGGTGCTTGAAAGGTGCAAACCCGACTACCTGAGATCCCTGTCACAACAGTCCTTACCACTCAAACACTCCACCGAACTCATCTACCGACGCCCATGGAACTAGGCGTCGGAAAAATGGCTGAGCTATTCTGAGCATTTTGGAACCATTAGAGTGGCCCTAATGTAGACTCTTGATTAATAAACCATCCCATTTGGAAGAAAAGTCCTCTTCATGTGGGGGTATTACTAATCAAGAGTCTACACTATGTCACTCTTCCAGGTTCCCAAATTAACGGAGTGTCACCTCGGAGTCAAAGTGGAATCTCTCACACTCACCCACCGCCCATGTTTAATCTCGACCCCCCCCCAAAAAAAAGGCTATTCCTGGACCCACTGTCGGGGTGGTTAATAGACACCCCTTGACCTCTTTTCAGGGGCTATCAATTAGACACCCCCTTAGGGTGTCCTGGTATAGAAAAGTCTTTTTCCCTCACTCAGCGGACGGCCGTGTCTCTCCTTTTTTCGGCGGCGCTGGGCGATCGGAGCACTGGACATGGAGCTGCATCCCAACCCACGGCATCCCAAAGAAGCACGGGGTGGGGCCACCAAATGGGACAACAAACACATCTACACTTTCAACACCCTTCAAGAAGTTGATCCCTGAAAGTATTGGATTTTTATATCATAAGACCTGCCGGAAATCTGTTGAAAGCTGTTGGACTCTCAGTGTTTTTTGCCGTTTGCCATGGCACATCCAAGGGACAGCTTGCTCACTGACCAGACCCACGAACTTTGTCGCCCACTGAAAGCATTCCGGGGCTTGCGGCATGCGGGATTCTTTCACCTGCTGACCAATATTATCCGCAGTCCCAGTCCCCATTACAAGAAATCGAAGTTGGCGTTGGGCGCATTTGCCGCATAGCTGACTGGTGGCGGCGGCGGCTGACTCAGGCGCCAGTACTGGTCATTGGAGGCACTGCTCGGTGCAAAGAACACGTGGCCATCACGTTCCTCGGGAAAGGAACGTCGCGCACGGTGTCAACGGGCAAACATGGTCGACGGGGTGTTTCAAAGGTGGGGAAAGAATTGTGTTTGTTCTGTTTTTTGTTCAGGAGTGTGTTGTGCATTCGGACGGTACTAGTGCCGTGGAATGTGGCTCATATCTTGCTCTATCTGCTCTAAACATAGTCAGCACAAGCGCCTTCAAAATGGGGCGAGGGACTCTCATCACCCCTAAATGGCCTTTGGAAGATCATCTTCCTCCAGTGTTAAGGGCCCTGGAGGTGGAACAACCAATAATCAAATGATTCTAAATGGACGAATGGGACATACCTAGGGGAAACTCTCGTCGATATTCAGTTGAAGGATGGCATGCCTGGCTTCTTACGGGTGTAGACCATCCATCGAGCACCCGCTGGCAGGCCCATTTCCCGCGCGAGAAGGATCTTCCGCCGGGGTCCCCAAACGTCCGGAGAAAAACCAGAAGCTCCGTTCTGCAGGGTGTTTTGTTTATTGTCGGGTGAAGCCAGCACATGGCGTTGAGGTTGCTAAGATCTCTGCGTGACATCTGAGTGACACATATCACCAAAAAAAGTCCCACTGGCAATATGATTTATACGTTTTGATACTTATATCTTTCCCTCAGAGTCCTGGGACCTGGAAAAGTAGGTAGGACCGCTACTTTTTTGTTCCTCGGACCGCTAGGGTGTCTTGGATCCCCCACAAAAAGGTCTGTCTGTCAAGAAGTGCATCACACACATCCGAAACACTCCTTACAGGCCATTTTCAAGATGGCGGGTCTGGATGTTGATGGGTTTGGAAGCTATACATGTATCACATCGGCCAACCAACCAAAATCAAACAAACTGTCTGGGTTCTGGTTTGGAAGATTTGTGATCATAGTCTTGTTCCCTCCTGGAGGTTTGTGATGAAAACGGTTAGTGACTGACTCCAACAAGGGGGTGCCTCTCATGGCTTGCTCCTTGATCATCCAATTTTCTCACCTGAACGACTCACCGATCTGTGTGGCGGAGTAGATTTGTGGGGCACTAAGAACGTTGCAAAAGCCCGTCTGAGACGTTGACTCCACCATTCGTGGGCCCGTTTGGCAGTCTAGTAGGCAGGCACTGGTGTTGGGAGGGAAACTGGAGGAGTCCAGTTTAGGCATGGTGTTTTTTTGCCCAAACTGGACTCCTCCGTCGAGAGAGAAACGTTCCGATCACTGCCATGGATCTGTCAAGAACTTCGGATGAGGACAGGTGGTTCGGATGCTGAAGTGGTTCGCGCTCGGCTGACAGAACTGGTGCTTTCCGTTTTGACCTCAGTCATGCGGAGGGCGGCATGGTCGTTCAGGCAGGCTTCCCTGAAGGGTTGGCATCAATCGTCAAGGTCCAATCAGGAGTGATAAAGGTGGGTACTAAGGTGGGTTTTTAGTCCCTAAGTGCCTATCCTCCGGCACCCCTGTGGCACTGCTGGTCGGTCTGTCCTTCTTCTGGACCCATTTTGGAAGATCAAACCTGCCAAGGTCCGACTCTGGCCAATCACCGTAGGAAAGAACGAGTCAATGGGAAGCAGTAGTCAGAGGTTCGATGGTTCAAGTTACCCCAAGTTATGTATAGGCGGTGGTTTGTACGATTAAAAACACTTACCAAACACATCTTTGGGTGCCAGTGCCATCTACTTCTTGAAATCACTAGTTGAATGGACCAATCAAAAACGATGCAAAACGACACGTCGTTCTTGACAGCGGTGGGACGTCCGTGACGACGCATCATGTGTGGGGTGCTGTGCGTGCGGTGCCAAACGGATAACAGGGCGAAAAGCCTTGACAAAGAGTGCCCCAGAGCCTTCCAAGGACATATCATATCTGATCATCTCTGATCATATCTAACGAAAACCAGGACCTTATCATATCCAGGTCCAAGGATATCTCTTCGTCCAAGCATCTGCACATCTTCACTGGCTCCAGCTTCCTTAGGGGGTCTCTGCACGGAAAGGAAGCAGGATCTGCTCAGCGGCTGGGAAGTGATCCACTCCTATATACCAATTAGCGAGCCACTTGGGAACGCCATAGAACGGTGTGCATCATGTGTACGGTTGCCCTGGACCATGAAGTGCCAGTGCTTGTCGTTCAATGATCTCTAGAGAGCTGGTTCCACTGGTCACCCAAGGGCCACATCTGGCTTGAGGCTTGGAAGGAGGAAGCAGCCGTAATGAACCTTATGGCCTTATGGCCGTGATGAACTGCACTGGCACCCTCAACATCTTCAAACCATTGAGACCGGTTCCAGGCAAATCGTGTGTTCCCCACATCAAACGAAGGTCCACTCAGATCAAAGCACGAGCCTAGAGATACAGCAGCAGCAGCAGGAGGAGGAGGAGCAGTAGTAGCAGTAGTAGGAGTAGCAGTAGCCGAAAGCAGTGGTAGTAGTAGTGGCAGTAGTGGTAGTAGTGATTGAAGTAGAAATGGCGATAGTAGCAGTAGCAGCAAGTATGTGCTCAAAATCCCTCAAAGAACTTGGGTCCAAAAGACGGACCTGATCATGACATAGGCAAAGCAAACATATGGAAACCCGCAAGAAACTCGATATGCACAGTGGTATATTCAAACAAAAACCTTGCATGGTGCTCTTCAACTTCAAGGTTCATGCAGTAGTTGCAGAAGGGCGTAAGGACCCCATCTGTCGAGCAATCCATGTCCTGGACTCTTTGCGTTTGGAGCAGCAACATAGCTCTACGACGAGGAGCGGTGTTGACACAACATCTGAAAGACCTCGCACAGCTATAGCCTTCCTTGAACTAAGAAACACATGTTGCATGATGTTCCATGGCAACTGTCCACTCATCTCCACTCATCAAAAGCTCCAAAAGAGTAAGCCGCTTACACTCCCAAACCTCCCAAATGGTGGCATCTGTTAAGTCATGAAACATGGCACCCCAATTGTCCCAAACCCTAAGCACCACCCCAAAAAAATATATGTGCATATATATATATATACATATGTTTTTTTTTGTATAGATGTATAGAACCATTCACTCGAGTGGTTCCTGAATCTTCGGGGAGGTTATTGCATCACCAATGCTGAGTTGATTCCTCAGAAGGGCGTGCGGTCGGTGAAAGGTCTGGATGTGGGAAACAACACCACCCGCACGTGCGGTCGATTGATTCGGTCTGAGTCGGTCGTCATTCGGTCGCATCTCCGTTGAGCGACTCGCTCGGGCCAGAAAAAACACATCACCCCCCTGGTCCCCAACCATCAAAAAAACATACTCTCCAAGGGAAATGCTACCAGTCTCCTGCAATCTGTGCTGATCCATCACCGTGAGCAGCGCTTGCGGCTCATCGGGCTGATTAGGATCGGCGTGCGGCCGGTGCAACAGCAGGCGTGGAAAGGATAGGCCACCTGCACCGCCAATGAGTGTACCGCCCATGGCATTCTCTGCAGGACTCGGACCCCGCAAAAAAAACACCTCAAAGTCGACTGAAGGCGATGTATCTCACCAACTCACTCACCAACAAATCACCGGGGTCATGTCCAACCAATTCCGCCCTGCTAGCCTTAATATGCCTTAATAGCCCATCGCACATCTCTGTGTCTTGGGGCGGACCCTGTGGGACCGATGCCTTGCACGTTCTGCGTGTAGTCCGGCGAGAAGATGTAGGCGCCCTCCATGCACGAGGGGCCCCAACAGCGGAGCTGCCAGCGCACCACGGGGTTCTGCACATCCTAGGAGTCACATGGAGGCCAGGGTGGTTTGAGTGATGGTTTGGCTGGTCCCTAGGTGAGTGGAGGTACATAGAGTCCTTAAGGAGTCACATGGAGTGGGGTGGTTTGGCTCGTCCCATCCAGTGAGTGGATGTGGATAATGGGCATCCCGACTTCGTCCAATAAATAGACACCCCGTCGAACGTGACTGGCTAAGACTCATGGCGTTGATTCGGTGTGAAGACTAATGGGTGTGTTTGGAGAACCCCAAAGTGAAAAGAACCAATAGGACCAGGACCAATAGCGCGTCACGAAACATGAAGACTTGGAGAACGCCATCCCATCCGGAAGCTCGGCACCGCACCCGGATGCATCACGACGGATCTGTCCGGAGAGGTGGTATACGCCCGGTGAGGACGGCGAACTTCGTCATCGGCATCCCACAAGATGAAAAGAACATGATCTTGAAGTCATGACTCTTTAGCTTCCAGTGACCTCTCCCTTCGATGTGGCGAGTCATGGTTCCCTTTCTTCGCCGCAAAGATAGCCCCGCTCAGCCGGTCCAGAGGCGAACCTGGAAAACGGTGGCCATAAGGCTATAAGGATCTATAGGGCCAGGCCCAGGCCAGGCCCTGGCTGTGAAGAGACCAGAAGCAAAAAGATCCGGAAGTTTGTTTGGATTCTGAACTTGTCACCTGGTCCCCTTTCTGATCGAAAACGACTGCACATATAAACCTGGGACAACTATATAGAAAGAAAACACATAATGTCATGACTGCGCAAGATCCACCCCCAAAAAAAGAACTTCAAGGAAGCACCCACCACGACCAGCCTACTCATAAGACTTAATCCTCCAAATGCCTGTCTTTTACCTATTTTCACATCGGCCAGGCTCGTCGTACGGCAGCTCCAGCCGATGGTCTGAGGCCCAGTTCGTCACCTGCAAAAAGATGGAACGCTCCATGTCACGGTCAAAAGGAGAGATGAAGTGCCTAAGAAACCTATATGTTCTACCTATATACAAAAACAAACAGAAAGCAGGTTTCCCAAAAATAAATTCCTATGACCACGAGCACACTTGCCCGAAGAAACCGGAGTATATACCAAAAGCAAGATTGCTTGACCTTCTTGGACATGTACCATACAAAAACATGTTCTCAACGTAAAGCCGTTGCATACCCACGGCTTAAGTGCCATGTTCCACTTCCAAGATTTCATACACCAACCGACGCTCTCTGTCTCAGGGTGAAAGGAGTCGGGAGGACCTCTTCTTCGGTGTTTCTGAATGAAACTGCCATGTTCACCGCTATGTTCCATGTCATGCAGATCCTGCGCATCGCCAATTCAACCAAAACAATTTAGAAGAATTACTGTAATAAAGGATTCCTCAACGCAATCAATCACAAGGTTCAATATGCTTCCATGTCGAAATGGTTCAATTCAATAGCCGTGCCCAATATATGTTGGGTCAGTATCACTTCGAATCGACTCACTTTTCTGGGCTCTTTCGTCGAAGTTTCGGTCCTTCCACACCAGTCGAAGCCCGAACTCGGAACTGGAGACCCATCGGACCTTCGCTCCGTCCCGGGCCCAGTCCGCTTTCACCTCGAAGGGCTCCGCGTCCAGCGTGCTGCTCTTGCGGAACTCCGGCACGCCCGGGCTCATCTGAAGGGCGTCGGGCGGACGTCGGGCGGAACCGAATGCGACGTGAAACAACGATGCTCTCTCCACCTCACTCCAGTTGCAGCTTTATGATTCTTGGTGTTCTTCCCTGTAGTAGTGCACTTCCGGAAGTAGTTTGGGACCTTTAGTATCACACGATGTTGATCTTGGCCACCCCCGGTTTCCTCAAAGGCAGTGGACCAGCGGAGCACCATCAAGCCATGGACAGTGCCAGCGTCCGCTGGAAGCGTCGGCAGTGGACGGGGGTGAGTGGACGGGATGTATTTGTTTTGTTTGGGCAGAGTTCTCGGATGATCGTCCTGAGGGCACGTGACGGGATTCACGTTCCGGCACGGTTGAACAAGTCCGGAGATGTCACGGTTTTTAATTCAACAAACATGACTGCTGGTCGTTCACTGGGCGTTTACGGCACCAAAAACCTGTCCTCCGTTCGTGGCATGGAAACAGAATTGATTCAATACTATTTAGCCCAACGAGCACCGTCCTCAAGCTTAAGATCCTGGCCGATCCTTTAGGCTTCATCTGGGTGTTTCGGCCGAGCACGTTCCTCCTACTTAGCAGGTGCTGCACTGCATATTGAATCATGCAAAGCTGTGTGCGTGATTCACAAGAATGGACACATCACCTACAAGTCTCTAACTAAATGGGAATTCTAGCTACCAGCTGTCAAGATGTCTCCAGCAACATTCCTTGAACCAACTCGGATTTGACCTCAAAGGCTGCAGCAGTACAAGTCGCGGCCAGTTTCCAAGCCCTGGCATGTCTTTTCAATCTAACATAATCTAACCGCACCTACGCAGGAAACAAAGGCATGTGTTTGCTTGGGAGTCTAACTTACTGTGATTGGCATTTCTGCCTCAAAACTGACCGTTGGAGCCTCTCTCGCCCAGGATCGACACTAACCTGAACAGCGTGGTCTGACAAGTGCTGACAAGGAACTTCGGAAAGGCTAACATGTGTGCGTGTGTGTCCAGTCTCACCATGTCTGCCCGCCCGCCTTTGGCGGAATTTTAGTTGGTGCGTTTGATCTAGGTATAAACCCGAACACCTCGACAACACAGCAGCTTGGTCAGCTTGGTGTCCACCTCCCATCTGCAACCATCTGGACTTCGGACCGGAGGCCCCCACTGGCGGCCCAGGCGCGTTCGCGCAGCGTTCGCTGAGCCTCCAAGGTCTGACCCGCTGGACTTGCTCAGAGCATTGAAGTTCGGATGTTGGTAGGTGACCCACATGGATGACAAATCTGGGAATCCCATGAGCATGTTTTTTTGATCTGGGAATCCTCGAAAAACGCGGTCAGACCTGGGAAGACATGTGGTGTGTCTGACCTGTTCAGTTTGGAGCATTAATATATATATATATATAGAGTTCTTGATGTTCACCTGTTCTTGTCCGTCCAGCACTGGTATCGAAGCTTCTCGAAGTGATCGACTGGGTAGGGTGTTAACCGGGTGTTCTCACGTTGTTCCGCATGGATTCATAGATTGAAGCTTCCCTGTCTTTTCAGCCTGCTAAACCACCTTTTGGAGATTGTGTCATCTACTCTGACACCGGTGTATGTTCACTTGGGAAAAGGACTCATCTGCATTCAACAATTCTGCAGAGAGCAATTCGTTCCAATGCCTCAGGCAAACCGCGCCGCTTTTCATGTGGGAAAACCAGCAGGCTCCGGCCAATTGAATTGTGAGACCTGGAGAGATGTACTGTATTCATCAGTATCCCAGTTCACCTCCAAATTCTTGTCAGACGTGGACTGATCATACAGAATATATGGTTGTTCACACCTCGTTTCTTGGTGATGATGATCCTGTGATCTCATCTCTCGACGGCAAGAGTGCTGCGGTGCGCCCAGCGCACCAGGGCGCGCCAGGAAGAATTGACTGTACAGTTGCTTGCAGGAAAAGTGTGGCCCTTACTGACCGGCCTAAGGAACTGCGACAACAATGGAAACCCCGAGGCCCGAGGAGTATGAACTCCAAAAGCATCTGAATCCTCGTTGGGCGTGAGGAAATCCTGTTTTGTTTGACTCTTTTCGACTTGGTCTTGGCAAACTGAACCTGGGTGTCCTTGAAAACCCGCGCTCTTCACTGCTCAAGGCATCGCTTGGTCCAAGCCGTCCTGAAGGGGATGGTCAACTTTGGTCTGTGCGAAAGTGAAGCCTCCTGGGCAGAACAAAGAATTGCATGAACCGCTTATGAAGTCTTGACTGATAGCCGCCACAACAGCATTTGACAGCCAGCTTGTGCCCACAGTGTTCCAGCCGGATATAGCCGGATGCACTTGCCCCCTCTTACCTGTGTTGTGCTACAAGGTCTGTCGGGTGTTTTTTTTTTCCAGCTCTTCACCCCATTACAGGTCTTCGAAGCCAAGGTCAAACGCATGTAACAGCGCCGCCAGTTGGACCGGGCTGCTGGGGACGTGAGTTCATGCGGGAGCAATTGAATGAGCCCAAGTGGCATAGAGCTCATTCACGCGCTTCTCCATCGCTGGCGGGAATTTCTTCCGTCCGCCCTCTTTCTTCACATCCAGTGCCTGGATCCCCAGCGGTTCGCTGGCAGCTGCCCGGAATCCGTCTTTTAAACACTTATGACACAATATTGAGCACATGTCAGCGACATGCACCACATCACCAGTTCTTCACGTCACTGCGTACAACATCTGAAAATTCATATTGCGTTCCACTGTGTCATCCCCCCAAAAAATGTCCCAACCATTTCCTCAAAACAAAAAATACCAAACACGCCACCATGACAGTCTCCAATTTCCTCAATCCTTTTCACCTCCAGAACCATCGCAGGTTCCCACCGGACACGTCGATGCCCGCCTGGCCGAAGCTGAGGCCCACCGCGGCGCGCTGCGCCGACCGTGACTCGCCCACGGAGGCCTTGGCGTCCTCGGGCGGCGGCACCAGCCTGCGGACTTGGTGACCACCGTGGGATGGATGGTCTTTGGCTGGGGGCACTGGGGCTTCATATGGGAAAAAAACATGTAGATGTTGTGAGTGAATTGGGGTGTGACTAATTAAGGAATTGCTTTTGGAGTGGTAGAGCCACCGGTCATACCCTGAGTCACAAGAAGGGGTGAAGGGTGGGTCCGGCATTCAAGGGCCCCCCTCCAAAAACAAACTATAGGAGGGTCCCCAAATTTGTTCGTCGAGCGCTCACCGCCCTGTCAGTAATAATAATGGTTCATGTCTACACTAGAGTCTACACATCAGCTGGCACATTCCCCCGGCCTATGCGTCCACATCGCCAATGGCATGAAGTGTGTCGTGGGGCCATCAC